GCAGCTGGGGCACTGTTATCTGAACGCCTGGTTTACGGTTCTTTCTTCTCTTTCTATACTTTCTACAGATTAAATTTTTTAGTGATCAATTTTGGCATTAAATCGGTGTTAATCTGGTTATTTTTCTCGTGCGTTTTGTTGCAATTTTCAACACCCTTTGAGTCAACAAATAAGTCAAATCTTTTGATATAGAAAATTTCATTCAGTTTGCATAGTCCAAAAAGTATACATTCCTCCTTCTCCCCTTCCACCCATCTCTACCGAAAGCAATATCTCTCATAGCAGCTCTCTCAATAAGGGGGGGGCTTTGATTGGTTTTTTTTGTGGGGTTAATGTCGCCTCTCACTGTGATATGTAACGAAAAATAAACTGACAGAATCTGCCAAAAATACAAATTAGAAATACACATGCCCACGCCCATGAAAAAAAAAATAGACTAAGATACATACATTTTTCTCACAGGTATCGTGCGAAACGTAGAACGAAACCTCTGTGGCCTTGCTCAGTCGCGAGGCGGGGATACCTTGGCTACAGCTGTCACAATGGCAGGCAGAAATCATCAACAAAATACTTTGGCAGTTCTAGTCAGAGAATTTAACCGGGTTTTTATACAATGATTCAGCTGTCGTAAAGTTAACTGGGCATCAAGATCGCGTTTTGGCAGATTGAACCAGTTTTTAAAAAGCAATTCATGGCCAAATGTGAAATACCGGGATTGCATCTGTCACAAATGCGGTCATAAAACATGGATGTATAGGCTGGCAGAGGGTGAAACTGATGACTGCATTGCAAATGGCTGAATCACGCATTCACTCATTTGTTTCTAAATACTCAAAAATTTATATGTATTTTTCAAAATTATGACACCTCAACTCATTTAACCTCGAAAATCATTAATATTTAAACAAACACGGTACCACCAGCATCAGAAAAGACTTTTTAAATTTCTCTACTTTTCTCTCTCTTAAGAAGCCCAACTTGAAAATCATCAGTCGTGTCACTGTAGTTCGCATGAAAAAGGAATGGTATCTCGCTGCAGAAGAAACTGCGTTGTTCTAACCTCTTCCTCTCTGGTACGAGGCATATCAACACGTATATCGCCTTGAGAACAATATAGGGCACGTAATTGATGCTAATTATTTCAGTACAGTTAGACACGTAATAAATTAACCATCCACTTACCATTAAGTACAAGTTAATGAGGGGCTGATTTATGAGGTTCAGGGAGCTGTTTACTGACCTGACATCTGGCGGGGAGTTTTTCTAACCTGGGACTACGACCCTTTATCATCTTTTTACTGGGTCCTCCATCAAATGAAATGGAGGATATTCAGAAACAGATTTATTATTATAAAATCCAAAAACTTTGTCCTATTTCATATGGGATCGAAAATACTTACCTGTCTACCCGTTCCCAAAATTAATCATAATTACTGTCTGAAAATTATTGTTTTGATTATGAAATTGAAATTTCTGTGTATTGCAAAGGACGTGTTCATTAAACAAGTAAACCAATGTAAATTCATAAGTGCTTAAAGATGAAATAATTTCAACAAAGACCATCGTAGAATAATGGAAATCATATAGGGAACAGTCCCAGCATGTTCATTTTCAAAGATGATGCGTTTTTCAGACCCACAAGTAGGCCTTAATCCAGCAATTTTTATCAAAATGGAATTACCATTTGGGCGATACAGTATCCACAAGGTCAAAATTGTTAAAAGAAAACATGAAGATACAACCATAAATCGGAAGAAGTTGGCAATGGCTTCAGCAAAGACTTGAGCTGGTTGGAAATATAAGAAAAATATATTTTCAAATGTTAGTAGGTTTGAAACATGTTTTATTGGGTTGCGTGCATCATTTGAAAAACTGTTACAGCTGCTGTGTCTGTGCATAATAGTGGGTTAAGATGTTAATGCAGAGGAACAATTCCATTGGAGTCAATAAATGCTGTTTAGCCCTAAGAGAGATAGAGGAGCGCTGCAGCAGGTGAGGCTCAACAAAAAGGCCATCCCCCCCCCCCCCTCCCCGTCTTAGCACGACTTACTTAGTGAATGCACGTCGAATCTCATCCTACTCACTCAATCTAAACTATCTCCCAAATGAAAAAAAAGGCAGCAATGTCACTGCCCTAAATCTGTTTATCACGAGAGAAGCAAATTGGTAATTTGTTACAAAATTACTTCAGCAATTCCGTCGCCTGCGATAACAACTCTGCGAGGCAAATGAAGATTACAACGTGCTTTTCAGTTCGGAATGTATTTTGGATAGTGTATTGAAGGGATACTTGAAAGAAATGAAAATTGAAAGAAAATGCTTGTTGTAACGCCTTAACGTAATCACCCCTCTGTCAAATCGCTTCTGCATTTAATGATTTTTGTCATTTTTTCTCTTCTATCTTTATTTCATGCCTTGGCTCCTCAGTGTCCCACTTAAAGCAAATCAAATCAGAAAGACAGATTTCAAAATCGAACATTTTCTTTAAATTTAATTCAGTTGATAGTAGTATCTCAGACAATTTGCTTCAAATGTTACTGAACATTGCATTACAACATGTTGTGCAAACTTTCGATCGTTGTTGATAAGAGAGTTACTGACAAATGAATTGGCTATCTGGAGTCATCGGCGTGTCACGATAAAGGAGTAAATAGTCACCTCATTAATATACAATTTGTCATCACTTCATCGATTCTCGCGCCATCAGAAGAGCGGAAATTTGATGGGACACTTGATGACATCTTGAATTAGATCTGACAGACGAATTACCCAAGGGAGCGCTTGGGAGACCTGGGGCAATGTCATCAGCATTTCCTCGACTTTGTCTCACATTTCAGTCTTGGAGAATCCCAGTGGTGTATTTATTTCTGATGGTTTTCTAGCCATTTTGTGTTCATACAGGATGACAATTTGTTTTGTCTGATAGACATTACCAGAAACGCTGCCTTATGTGCAAATGTTCATTTCGATTGCAAATTTAATACTTAAAATTATCAAATCCACACGAAACAGTGAAATAAACACTATCTAAAAATCACACAAAGGGGATTTCAGAGACTCCCAGTGGGGTAATGCCCTTTAAAGGAAAATTTTCTTGCTCACGTTGAGTGAACAAAAAATTCAATGTGTAGACGATGTAATTTTCTAGGCCGACAGATGGCGCAGTGAAAAGAGTCCTTCCTTTCCACCTCAGATGTTAGGTGTGACCATCGCACGTTCGCGCTCACTGTGAAAATGGTACGGTGCGTAAGAAGCGTTAGAAGCATGGATGCAAAAATAAATAGATAAATAAATAAATGAAGAAAAATAAACAAAGAAATAAATTGAAAATTAAAATATAGTAACGTATAGTTTATTTAAATGTCAAATGAGCCAACCACAGGGTGTACTGCATAGAAATATTCTATACTGTATATAATGTCAAAGTATCTGATGACATCTGCTACACAACTACCCAATCTGGCTGTTTAATGCATATTTCATAATGTTCCTTTTTTTTGTATTTTTTTTATTGGAGGTGCTTTCTGTCGGTAGGAATATTTAATGTAAAATACATGCTTAAGCTGTTAAATTACAATAAACCGCGCTTCTATGTGGTTCAAAGAACTTGAAGGTATTTCAAATTATCCAAGAATTCAAGTTTTGCTGAGAGTATTTGAACGGCCCAGTCACGGTCTCCGTGCTTCGAAGTGTTCAGAGAACTTCACAGTCATAAAAGAATTGGATTGTAGCGCCACACCGGCATACATCAGCACAAAAGGGATGGATATGTTAACATTTTAAAGTAATTAAAAAATAATTGCAAATCATTAATGAAATATGATATGATTCATACGTAGGTTTACCTAACATCCTATTTCTGTATTTTCCCGGGTGACGTGAGCAACTGCACTTTTCGTTTTCGGTGTTTTCTCACTTACAGGAGTAGCTATCATGTTTCCCTGCTCATTTTCTTTAAAGCTATCGTTCAGATTTTGACGGCAACTACAAGTTGTATTTGAAAATAGGCTTCTTATTTGTTTTCTTGCCACTGAGGGTCATACAGTAGCCACATAGCAAAAGGTCTAATAAAAAAAGGGGTATCGATTGATGTTTTTTCACAATCAGTGTATATGTTAAGACTGTATCTCCCGTGGTTAACATATTACTCTTCATACTCAAACGTGTTCTCTTCCCATATTAGAAAATCACTGAATGATGAAACGAAATTCGGGTGACCTAGTAACTGGGAACTTTTAAGTAATAACTTGTTTTGATCTTATCTCTTACCCGCTGGCAATTTAGATTCTCTGATGATAATTTACCGGGTGTCAACATTCACAAAGCCGATATAAGGCACTAGATTTACATTATCTATATGTCGGGAATCGATAATTGATTTGTTCATTATAAAAAATATGATAACGAAAATAAACATCTCTATGCAGTGATGTAAGATACATTTCTTACCACAATGTGTGAATTAAAAAGCCAAAAACACCTTTTTATTTGGCGAAGCAATGTATATTCACCGACTTCCTTCATTGTGCGCACTTTGAACATCACCGCATATATCGCCCTCGTCTGAGAGAAATTGTTAAAACGCGCCATCTGTCGTCTTTAACTGAATGACTTAATAAAATGAAGTATAACCAGTCTTCTCTAAGGGGGTTGACAGGACTCCGTAGCATTTTAGATGCGCATGTACCACATATACATGTATAGCTTATACTGGAGCAGTGGACAAAAATTCGATTTTTTTATGTAATAAACATTTAACCTGGAGCAGAGGTGTCAAGGTGCAGGCACAGAGGATAATTCATAAGTGCACAAGACTTTTCTGTCAATTTTACGTAATGCATTATCATCACCACTTTTATTTGCAAGTGCTAATTAGGTACAAGTTATTGTGAACATCCAAAAAAAAAAAAATGTAAATTTGTGAGAAATAGAAAATGAAAAAGAGAAAGTCACTAAACATTTGATGTTATATGAAAACATTTATTTGCCACCTTTTTCTATGTACAGCCACAACGTATACAGCCCATGATATACAGTTATCACAGTAAACAGGGATTTGAAGCTAAGTGTACTTAAAATAAAAGAACCAAATCAAAAACAAAATGACTTAAACAGCACATATCCTTAAAAAAATTAACCAATTTACATATTATTATGTACAAATTTAGTAGATACTGAAAACCACCAACTTTCTACACCTTTTAAAAAGCTTTATATCCATACATGGTCAAAACTGTTTCTGCACAAAAAGAAGTCAAGAATTATGAAAGGAAGCAGCCACACACCTGCTATTTCAAACCAATCCCGGTTTAATTTTAAATATAATTCCAATAACAGACAATCTCCTTGCGATTTCTTTTTGAAAAAAACATTGCATTACGGCTGTCTAGGTATGTGGAGGACCTACAATGTAATAATGTTGCTTCATTTTTTGCATATTGAGGCGGGTAGTTTGCAAATGCATTTTTTATTTGAATATAACATTTAGAATATTTTGTACAGTTTATGGGCCGGGCAATAAATTTTAACATATCTCTAGAAAAGAGATCAAGTTTTTTCCTCTAGGATATAATGTGAAATTTCTGGTTTATCCCTCCTTTAAGCAATATTCTATCACTGTTCTATCTTTACTGAAATATAGTTATATGTGAATAAAATTAGCAAATACTGCCACCCTTATGCATGGGCAGCCCTTTTTTATAATTATGTTACCTCAGTTAAGTGTAATACTATATAAACAGTTAGTGGACAGTTAACAGGTACGTTTTTGTTAGAAAATGTTTTCGTAAAAATCTAAACAAAGCATTTGCTAGCTGTGCCTCATGCCCAGCTGAACAAGATCTGTTAACAGAGATGTTGATGTTGTCAGCACACAAGTTGGGTACTGCATCAGTGCAACACTAACACCAAGACTATACACACTACAGTAGAAGAAGCCACACATTTCCCCACACTTTAGTGGCTTGCTAATTCCCAGATGCTTATAATTCCAGATAGATTCTTTAATATTCATAATTACAAGTTCACTTGACCATATATATCTAGCATATAAAATACATAATGCATCCTCCCGACACTCGCTGTGACTGAGGTGTGCTAAGTCATTATGGTTATAAATTCCCTACATGCAGTTGCAAGGTTGAAATCTCAATAAAGAGAATCAGTGTCATGTATTGCCAATAATATCCAACATTGTTAGTTACCCAAGCAAGCAGCACTTTGATACCACTTCCTTTATGGTACAGAATCAATAACCTCCAATCAAGAAAAACTTAAGCATGAAAAAAATCCCAATGCACAAAAAATAAAACTTTGGATTTGAACCTTTGGATGAGTTAACTATATACATATTTCATAGCATAACTGCCCACAAATTTTACATCTTTTAAGCTGCCTTCGATCCATACATAAGTCAACCAAATAAGACCCATGGAAATGGGGACTATAATTAACGTCCAGATTAATAGCACCCACTGCACCCTGGTGCCCAGTCCTTGACCAGTGCATCGACTTACAGCACAATTTTCAGGGACACTTGCCCACTTTCCAGCAGCTGCCCACCTCATACTTGTGTCCAGTCACTGACCCTAACCAACTTACGGCAAGGTTGCCACAGTAAGAACAGACCATTTCCCAATTGTGTCCTTGACCAGTGCATTTTTAAGTGAGGTCAACAGAGCGAGGACTGCAAGCTGGTCTTAATCTAGTGAGTCACGACTTCATTCCTGTCTGTTACATTGGAACTCCCCACACAAGTCTATTCACACTTTGCAATCAAATCTAGTGTTGAGTCACCATTTCACCTTGACCCATTACCTAAGTATGTGATTTGCACTCACATACATTTGTTATTCTCATCATGTCTACATGCACTCATTGTGCTATGCAGGCTATACCCCAGACCCCAGTACCCTCAGTCCACTAGTCTCTTGCAGCGTGTGTGTGTGTGTGTGTGTGTGTTTGTGAGCAGGCATCAGTGTTGTTAACCCTGGGTTGTTCCTAAAGAGAACAGCTGTATCCGTGATGCATTAAAGTACAAGTTGGAGGAGTGGTAGACCAATGACCACACATAAGGGATGAAGAACTCCTCGGGTTGATCCTCTTCCACATATTTGAACTTAAGCTCTGGGAATTTCTGCAGAAGAAAAAACAAGATCAATTAGGTACACATACAGACTGAACAAACCAGCTTAATTAGTAATTATTATAGGAGTTTCCCATTGGTTAAAATCAGTTACATACCTATTACACACAGATGGCACATACCTTTAACCTTTCTCTTTTAAACTGTCTTGCCCCCATTTTGATTATGTCTAACACTTCATGAACAGAGAGATTCCTGTCTGGTTTCTCCAACTGTGCAGTAAAGTAACCTAGAACCTAAAAATTAGTTTTAAAATACCAATTAAACCATGCAATAAAGAGCACAAGTCTGGAAATAGTTTTCTTTTTCAAAATTCTTAACCCTTAAATAAGTCACAATCCTGTTCCAAATTACTCAGCTTTCTTCAGATCAAAACCACAATCTCCATTTAATCAGAAATAAAACTGCACAATTCTTCGAGAACGTAAGATATTTTAAACTGACTTTACTATTTAATATGAACATGAGTTATATTACTAATTAGAACCCAAAATATCTCAAATTCACCATATCAACATTTCTGAATAGATAACACTGAGAACAGTATCTTGAATCTGACAGAGAAACAAGGCAAAGTTAAATGAATACAAAGTAATACAGAGGCTGCACCTACTGTGTCTACATTCTGTATGATATCCTGGAAAGTTGGGTGTGTCCTGAACTGAGAGAACACCTCTTTGTTGTAAAGCAGAGTGTAGATAAGGTTGGGGTTGTGGTGGAGGGCATGAGTCAGACACGAGTTAATAATCTCGAGGACCATACGGATGACTTCTTCTAATACACTCAAGTCCTGGCCCTGTAATATAAAATTCTTAGAATATAAAACAATATAACTTGAGAGCAATCCAAGACATAAATGAGGGCAAAATGTGAATAAAAATAACATAATGATAAAAAAGACCTTCAAAATTGACAGCAAAGCTAGGAAGTATACACACACTATATGGAAAATATTAATTCTCACTGCTCCAAAAAAGAGCACATTCCACTAAAATATAACTTTTGTAAAAACATTCCCATAATTCCGACTTTTAAAAAGAACTTGACTTTTTATTCAACAAATGTCACAAATATGACATATATTGCCAAAATATGTGGAAAAGAAACTTTTGTAAAAATGATCATGCTGATTCTTAAAGGATCCCTTTTTTAATGACAAAATGGCACTTAGTAAATATTAAGTAAAACAAAAATATGGTTTGGCAGTTACAGGGACTGATATTTTGGATGGCAACAGCAACAAGGACAGACAGTTATCAGAACACATACAGTGTCTATATATAATAAGTTAAAGTTTTCCTTTTTATGACATTTACGACAGTGCACAAACTGCTTTTGGTCAATTCTGATGCAACATTGCATAATTTTTTAAAAGCATAAACACCACCCTACTATACTGCATTTGTACACAATAAATCCACAACACCCCAAATATTTTTATTTATTTTCACAATGAGAGTCTCTTACATAGTCAGGCTCAGTATCAGCTTCGGAGCCACTCTCTGCCTGGCCATCCTCCAAGCAGGCATTCTTCAGTTGCTGAACTAGACGATTATGCTTCTTCACTAACAGGGCAAACAAACTACAAACAGAATAGTAGATACAAGTTAATTTTTACAGCAAATAAAGACAGCCAGATATCACTTGCAATATACCAACTAATACAAGTGACTGAAATCATTAATTTTTTTTATTTTTTTCTAATTTTTTTATGATTTGTGTCAAAGTCTGTACAATACTGTGTATATAATGTAACAAGAACAGTACATCTGCAGTTTCAGCAGACCTGCTGAAATTTCCACAAAGGAAGGAGAAGCTGTGTTGTCAACTCATATTATGAAGGTCCAGTAGTACATTTAAGAACTTAATTCATGTTAAAGTCTGCCTGGCATGTGAAAACCTTTTTTCAACTATTTAAAACTAACTATTAGCACGGAGATTGATTTAACACTTCCACATGGATGAAATAAAACTCAAACGTATATATGATAAACACTTCAAGGGACAAAGCATAATATGTTAAGTATGTAAACCATTTCCTGTTGAACCTATCCCAGTACAAGTAATACTTTTTGATCATATTTTAACAGATAAATGCCATAAATTAATGTAGCCAAAAATAACTCTTTCATCATCTCCTGACTAATCTTGCAGCCTGTCAACCATCTTGACACAGTTTTTAATTGTGCTAAACTTTGAATTCAGTAAAAGAATTAAGCTTGAAGAAATGACAGATTTTGAAAAACCATCACTCAAGTGTGGGTTAAAGGCTTCTTACTTCTTTCAGATTATTAGAGTATCAGGAAAGTAGGATCAAAAGAAGGTTAATCAGAGGAAGAATACCATAATTTAAATGTGTCTGATACAAATGTAAGTGGGTTGGACTTGCCATAAAATATTGTTTGATGCTGAAAATTTATAAATGACAGAATATAAAATATTCATTTTTTGTAACCTTTATTGACTTATTCAAAAGATTATTTTAATTGGTTATGATATGCCACTTTAGAGCTTACCTTATCAACCTCTGTGTTACATATGGATGAAGGTTGTCAAACTGAGCAGACATATTGGCTAGAGCTGCCAGACAGTTGGTGTGTAGGTACTTGTCCTGAAAATGTGATAAGAACATGTACATGCCTGAGGCTACATTGCCACAACTGACATGTTTTGTTTTTAATCTTTTATTCTTTAGATTATTTTTAATAATCTTAAGTAAATTAAGAACTTCAAAAAGCAATTCATAATTTTTCACCATTAACTTTTAAGGTGCATAATAAATGTGCCTTATAGAAAGTAATAATTATTACAGTTAGTATTAGTATTAACACTATTGTTATTATAAACCGTATATAAAACAAGACTACTTGGAAAGGGTCATTTTCAACCTTAGGGCACAATACAAACAATCTCTTCTAGCTTTGGACATATAAGGTCTGGGTAAACCTACTTTTGCGCAAAAGACCTTATGATAAAATAACCAAAAAAATAGCCATGGATAAATTTTTATTTTTGTTGCTGGGCCATAAATTAGTTTGATTTTTGCACGGCGCTCAGTATTCTGCCATCATTTTTGTTCCTACTCTCCTCAATGTTTTGTTTCAGTCTGTTTTTCTATTTATTGCTGGAATTTTGAAATGCTAGATCTAGCATCTATGCTACTCACCCTCATTTTGGTCATATTGTACTGTATTGTCCTGATTACAACTAGCACCAGTAAACCACCAAGAGAGATCTCTGATATTGTTCTTTCTTTGAACCATGCTATATTTGTTATTGTCTGGAAAAAGAAGTAGACAACATCTGAATCCTGCATATACATAGAACCCGTCATATACATAAACTTTATCCTTTAAAATGTAGTTTGTTTTCACGTAAGACCAACACTCTAGGTCTGGAGACCAACCCTAGATTAATAAAATCAAGCTAAAACAGCATGTAAACTTTGTAGATCTTACAAAGAAATGTTACAACATTTTTCACTGTCCAAAGCCAGCTACTTTGACAATGGATTATATGCACAATTTAGTGTCAGATTGACCTGAAGTTCAGCTATAGCATGCTTTTACCAGATGACAAAAGCACTAATTTTAATATTTTAGACAAGCACTTTTTCTCAGTAATGGGCAGTAATTATTTCTTTGTTACTTACTAATTCATGTACGGCTTTATTAAAAGACTCATCTTCACTCAAGATTAGCAGAATAATTAAAGCCATGTAAATGTGATGAGAATTTTTGTCCTCTGCATGGTACAAGATTTTTAATATTGGCATAACCTGAAAAAGACAAATAAAAAGGTCTAGACAACATTTTCATTCTTAATGTCTGATAAACATCACTGATAAATAGTAAGTAATCTTTTACGTCAGCTTAAGGACATACTGTTAAGGTCTGTATTATTCCTCATCCTGGTTCTATATGAAATATGACTTGTCATTGAAGAATTGAGAATATAACAAAAAGTTTGAAGTTTTCTCAGACCTTCATATCTCTCCCTCCCTATCTTCACATGTACAATTATATATATATATATATATATTGCTGATATGATGCCATTAGCAAACTGTTTAATAAATTAAGTAATTGAAGACAAATAAATTCATGAACATTATATGATCATATTATAAAAACGTTTTTTTCAACCTAATTTTGGAAAAAGAGGTAAGCCAACAAATGCACAGACAACCCATCTAAGTTTAAATGTTAAGACTGTCACCAAGTGACACCAAAAGTTAGAAAGGAAAGAGAGATAAAATTTGAAGCTTTGGCAAAAGGGTTGTAATACACAAATCCCTTTTTTAAATAAGTCAGAAAATCTCTATTATTACTCGAGTACAAAGAGGACAATAGCAGATTCAGGGGAGTGGTACAGCAGGCAATTTCTGATATACCCCATTCTCTCCTCCAAAAAAAGTATAGCAAGCAAAATTTGTTCAACACTTTGCAGAATCCTGCAACTTTGATATGTCCAGTGAGGAATCCACTCACCACTTGGTCTAAATTTGTCCTAGAAAGCACAAAGGTTTTGAAGTTGATATTCCTATGTATGAGCAGATAGAGTAGCAGCGTGGTTTGGTCATCTCTCATGTTTTGGCACAGTGCCTTGTAGAGCCTGGGGAAGTCCATTCTGAATGTGGCCAAGGCCTCTGTGGGGGCGCCAGCCTCACCTGGGGAGAAAAATAGATTTCTACATATCAGTATACTTGGTATAGTTTTATCTAAAGGAGATTCTCCACTCGAGTTTTTTTTTGAGCTAGAACTTTGATAACTTAGCATTGGAAATTACTTTTCCCGAAACTATCAGTCAGCCTGAAATACTCTTAACAGGTTATTGAATTTACAGTTACTGTTGGTTACAATCATAGTGAAAACATCAGAAATAATCTGATACTATTCAATAGTCTTGCCCTCTGATAATAACAGAACGCAATTCATTATATGGTATTAGGGAACTGGCCCTTGAAACAATGCTGGTTGTCTCCAGTGAGGACGAGTGTTATAGAGGACATTGAGAACAGATGATCCACAGAGTTACTGATCCAAGTTCTAAATATGGCCGACCCCACATAAAAGGTAGCCCCTGATGGTCTCCCCGCCTCCACACACACCGCCCCTGCAGGGACCTAGCAATTAAACCTCAGACCTGAGATTTAATCTGTTTAATGTCAAGTGTGAGGGTGGTCAGACGATCATGGGTTGGCCATATTTAGACAGCAGATCAGTAAGTCCACGGATCATTTGTTGTGAACGCACTCATGGTCTATTTTCTTGAAACATGCTCTCAGTGTGTGGATTGAATAATTATGGTGACAAGGGGCCAAAGCGGGAAGTTGTCAAGGCTCAGGGAGATACAGTGGTGAGACATTCTTCATAATCAAGTAAAAAAGGATTGAAGCAGCCTTGCCATTGGCATGGGAGAAAAGCTGGGTATATTTGTAGAAGGCAATGAAGGGTTTATTGTAGCACACACCCCCAGAAATGACAGTGGAGAAATATGATAGCTTACAGAATAATGTATATTAAACAAAACTTTGGATTCCTCTTCGAGAATTTTTAAAATTATTTCTTTATCAATCTGGCCCTAGTTACTTCTCTCTCAAAGCTCACAAGAGACTCGGGACAGTTACTCAGAAGAGAGCTGCCTTAACAGATATATTTTAATTATTAACTGCCAAATATCATAAATGTACAAAACATGTACAAAGCAGAGAGGCCTTACAGGCCACTGGATCAGTACCATCAGCTGGTTAGGCAGGCCAGATATGATAACTAATACACATGAAATTGTACCTGTGATCACTATCTTAGGCAAACACAAGTGCATAGAGTTTATATATATATCTTCCAAACTTTAAACCAATTAGAAAATGAGCCAAATAAAAAATATGTACACATAACCTATACCAGTTAAACATGAAGACTGCCAAAAAAAAATAATAAAATACAAACACTACCTTATTTGTACATAAAAAAATGGGTTCTTCTTACCATGCGAGTCCATAAAAGAGCAAAGTGCCTGTCTGTAAGGATTGTTCACCTCACGGTCATTTGTACAGTGGTTGACGAGGACAAGGGTCAGCAGGATACTCTGCTGGGCCAACAGGTTCCTGTCCACTTCATTCTCCTGTGTCTTCTGACCAGTGGCCAGTCCTAGTGTCATCACTGTCCACAGGCCAGCTGGACATATAGGAACAAAATTCTCAACACTACAACTGTATAGGCTAAAATGTGGTTCATGAATGTAGGATACAGAATTAACCACAAAATGATTAATTTTTGAAAGAACTATAGATCTAGCCAATATGTTGATTTTATTGATCAAATTTAGTGTGATAATGTTTAAGACNCCAAATCGACTACATCCTCCGCTGGTACCAGCTAAAGCAATGTGTCACACCTAAGATAATTTGTCACATTTGATACAATCAATTGTACATGTGACACTATCTGTGTCACACTAAAGCAATCTGTCACAATCTATGACTGACTACTCACACCACTGTGACATCAACTATCAGCTCTATCAGAGCACTTAAGAAATCCTGGCAAAGGTCTTCCTCTGCATCTTCAACTGAAAAAGAACTCTTAAAATACAAACTGTATCACAGGAGATTCCTATTTGCATTATCTAAGCATAGCCATGTGGCTACAGTCACCACAAAACATTTAAGGTTACCTAGAAAGTGGTGTTGCAACATCTTGAATGTCAATCTTACATTATTAAGTGTTTGAGAAAAAAATCTCAAAGTAGTAAGTAGTGAATAGAAAATGTGTATTTTCCTTGCCAATCATTTAAATAAGTAATGGAATAAAAAAATATCTGAATTTTACCTCAGTCACTCTTGGATTGACTGTATATAAAGTTAAACACTTACCTTCCCCTGTGGGCTGAGCCTTAAACTGTTCCAACAGAAGTTCCTCTGATAAATTCTCCACAAAATACTTGCAAATGTTCCTTACAATAAACAGGGCATTGTATGTCTGCCAGATAAATAGGTTGCTGAAAGAGGAAAGAAAATACTGTAAATATCAATACTGAATTTTTTTTCTCTGATATTTTTTCCCCCAGGACAATGCTCTCCTTTTATACAATCATTCTATTTATATGTTATTTTTTGTCAAAAGTATATAAAGTTAATTTTTTAACTTAAGTTATACTGCGATTTGTGTTGTTCATATATCTTTAAGAATGTGAATGTGTGTATGTTTATATTAATTGAAATATTATGTAAAATGAAAAATTTTTAATTAGGAGGCTATGTTTTTTTAAATATGTAAGTAAGAATACTCTGTTTTGATAAACCAAAGTTTATAAAAATTGACAATATGATGACTGGCACATGTGTCTCAATTTTAAGAAGTGCATACATCTTAGTAATGGTATTTATATTAGAAAATCCTGAAATATTTCAAATCCTTCAGTGATGAAAATCTAAGTAAAAAACACTAGTTACCTTAATGACAGCTTTATCAATGCAAATTAAACGGAAAAATAACTTTCTCACTTACTCATCACACTGTGTAGATGCTTTCAGTTCTGCTGCCCTAATTAAGAAGACCCTGACCAAGGCTCCGAAGTTACCAGACTGAAAGTTGTTGATGGCCATGTTCTTGCATATGCCTGATATAGACTCTTCTAATAGCCTGTTGTCTGAACTAAATAAAAACAAAGATAACAACAAAATAAGACTACACTGATCTCCAAAGGCATCAAACAAATTAACACTAAATTACATGTATCATCTACTTGCCTTAGCCCTTATATATATATACATATATAAATACAATATGAGCAACTGTTTCATATTCACAGGTTAATAAACTAACTATGCCTGCCTGCATAATGATTACCAATGCCATGGATAAATAATGGAATTCTAACAGATGATGACCATGAGTGGCACTGTGTTGGATGCACGGAGGGAACAGGGAATAAGTAAAGAAACAGTTTCAGTTTCTTAGAGACTCTGGAACAGGGGTGGATCCAGAGATATTTTCTGACAGTCTTCCAAATTATCTTTGTTCATCCACCCTCCATTTTGACAGAAAAAAAATTAGATACCCGTCAAGGTAAACTTGGAAAATCTGACCGTCTTCTAGAAGACCCAGAAGATGACCTCAATCTGCCCCTGTAGAAACTGTAAATAATATATTATATCTAATACTTGCAAATCTTGTAGTGATATAAAGACACAACTAACTATAACTACCTGTTGTGAGGAATCTGCAATGTGAATGACAGCAGCTGATTCCAGAAAGGATCATTCTTGGAGACTGGGTCTGTGCCACACAGCTTGGCCAGGTAGGTATTACTGGACAGCTCACTGATACTACTGCTGTTGGCTCCCATGTTGCCACTGGAAATAGATATAGGATAAAGACATTATACATTTTTCAAATTATATATAAGACAGTACAGTGTTCTTTATTTGTCATGAATTTATTTATTAGAGTACCTTTATTTACCACAAGCAATAGTGAATATCCTGTATATTTTACCTATTATGTATCTGCTAATTATTCTTCTGTTATACTGCAGTTTAAAATATCAGTGACCTTTGTCACAGCCCCATGCAACATAACCTAGTGGGTTCAAAGGCTGTGTTCAGAAAAGAAGTTATCATACTAGCTCAAGCTGGATTGATCTATCTCAGCAAGGATTCTCACTAAGTCGCACTCAATGTAATCACCTTAATTGTCTAGCATGCCCCCTTTGCAAAGCAATATAAACAACATCATGGACCACAGAGTTTTCCCAACTTTATTCAAGTACTTGAAGTTACCATGGGGCATGCCAGACAATTAAGCCGATTACATTAACTGTGCCTCAGTGCAAAAACCTGCTGAGATAGACTGATCCTGTTAGTATGATTACTTCTTTTCTGAACACAGCCTAATACTGACAAATGCAAAATGGTTGCTCATGACTCGGAGTCATGAGACATTTTATGAAGCAACCTATTTGACTGAGATAAAACTACAAAAAATGTGAAGTGTCATTTAAAACAACTTTACCTAGAGTTGAACAGAGAGCAAGTTTATGTGGGAAGCCTTACAAACTATCAGTTATATCAGTCTTTTGTTAAATGCTTATTACTGATCACTATATAGAGTGAAAATATACACACAACAATACCAAGACATTGTGGGTTTTGAACTAAAAGTGTGTATGTGTGTGTGTGTGTGTGTGTGTGTGTGTGAGTAAGTGATTTACTGGGCATGTGGAATCTCAGGTGTAGGACACTTAAAATATGACACTGACAGTGATATCATGCCAACGCTGAAGGCTTCAGATTATTGTGGATAAATCATAATACCAAATCTTGCTGCAGGAGACACAAAGACACATTGATATGTTGATATCCTGCGCTGCCAATTCAACGCTGGAGTTTAAAAATAGAAATGAGTCGGATTCTCAATCCGTCTGACTCGGAATCACTCCTAACCCCAACAACTTCGTACAAACCACACCGTCAATAATCCTGAAAACCATGACATAACCATTACTATGTCAGAAAATCTTAAGCAAAACATACCTTTTAACTTATGTGTCACAAAAATTTGTGTGATTGCACCTGAAGTTTGTGCACAAAATATATCAGGAGAATTCCTTCAATATTTACATCCTCTGCAACATTTCTATCATGGTTGCATCCACGTTCACTTCCGTCGAATTCGGGTGCTTTCGACAAATAGAAACTTGTCTTTTCAAGTATCCGTACCTTAATAAAACTCGTGCATCGTATACGCTTGTTTGATTATTATTTTATGTCATATGGCTACAATGAAAATATTCTCAAAGTATAAGAAAACATTAATGGCAAATAATTGGAAATGACCTTGACCTTTACTTCGACATTTTCCGGATATCGGCGCGAAATTTGATGCGTCAAACAAACAGTGCAGTGTCTATGCAAAGATAATCATGACGGGTTCAGGAAGTGGACAGGGCAGCAGAGGGAAAATAATACTTCAGGGCTCGACATTAACATTTTTCCACAGGGTTGCTATTGAATGCAACCAGGTCCGGTGGTTTGGTTGCGGTTCCAGATTAAAATAAAATTCCAAACAAAAGGTTAATGATCGACCGTTTCACTATTTTTTTTTTGATTGCAGAAAACGTGACATACCGGGGTATTCTTACAGTCGGTTACAGGATTATCTGACCCAGAACGAGGCTCGATTTTAGGACTAGGGTAAAACATTGGCTGGCGCCCATTACTCTCAATGTTAAATTGGCGAACTTTGATCGTTCATATCAAACAGACCAGGGGACAATTACTTGTGACAACCACTTGGTTATATTCACTAGGGTTTTTAGCGTCAGTCATGGGCCTCAGGAGGAATTTCTAGATCTGCAGGTGATTTTATCAGCGATAAAGCCAACCCTTCTCTAACGGCCTGCAGTTATAGTTTACACCTGATATTATCTTTTATCAGATATATCTCTGGAATCTTCCCACTGACAGCACCTGAATGGGACTTACCTGGATTTCCCTCCTGTCAGAAGAGCTTTACAGGTAATTTGGCTAGAAGAAATAGATCGTATCTATTACGATAAGATCGGTTTCTCGATCAGTTCCTCAATCAAGGGTTCTAATTATATCTGTCTGTCATCAAAACTAGCATGGTCAAGCTGGCAGTGACAGGTAGGTGCTCTAAGCTGATTTCTTAAATAACAAATGCAAGTGGTACATGGTCATTGCAATTCCGAAAATGGTGAAAGGGTGTTGCGTATCAGGGTGTTCAGCCAACAGTAGTAAAAACCCAGAGACAAAATTTTGTCAGCTGCCAACATTATCAGAACGACGACGTGAATGGCTGAGAGCAATTAATCGTGCTCACGTAAATCCAGATGGAAGTTTTAACACTAATAAGATGTGGAACCCAAGCTCAAAATATGTTTATGTTTGTTCGTCACATTTTGTCACAGGTACAGTAATAATTAAATAATGTGTTTAATATATTTTTCAAGATTTATTTATTATCATTGTTTTCAATAATACTGTTATCGAATAATGTATGATTTCTTATGGTTTTTAATTAAGAAATATGTATTTAAAATGTTTTTTGTCTTCCTACAGGGACCAGTGTTAATGATCCAGGACATCCAGACTACTGTCCATCTATTTTTCCAAGTAATATGACAGCCCAAGAAAACTGTTCACAGAGGGTGCAACGTTTTGAACGTGCAGCTAAGAGATGTTTTACAGAAGGTATTCAATCAATATTTATAAGTATTTTTTATCCACAAAGTGGTGTGTTTGCTATCTGATATAGTTACAACTACTTGTAAATAGCTTTAAGATGTGATATCCTTGCTTACTTTTACATTTTAAGTATTATAATAATCTCATAAAAAATGAATTGATAATTCACAGGTGTTGTCATTCTATGTTATATGTTTTTCTACTTTTTTTTTCTTTAGAGAATGGATCACACCCAACAAAGAAATTGAAACAAACATGTATGGATGAAGACAAATCCAAGGAATTTACTGCAAATTTTGATGGTCGAGGTGACCTTGAGGAAGATCTCCATGAAGGTATAATACTAGTAGTGCTTGTGTCTAAGTAAAAGTAATATCTGAAAGAAGTCAGAATATTCACACTTATGAAAATACATTATTTTCATCTCTCGTCAGTTTGGAATTCTTTTATTAATATATTACTATTTTGGTTACTTTTCTGGTCAATTTAATCAATTCTGAGTATCATGTACCCCCTTCCACAAGACCATTATTGTGACATTTGGTATTGGCAAAATGATATTATGATTCATCATTAAAGGGATAATAACTCTTCGTATGAGATCTATATTTCACAATAAAAACATTGTGAATAACTCATAGAAATGTAATATATTGTTTTTTTCGCAAAAACGGCAGTTATAGAAATTATTCTGATATCTGAGCTTGTGTTAGACCATGTGACCTTCATTCATGGCTATACTCTGTTAAAATCAACTTAAGAGATTTTAACAAAGAAACAAATTCTTAGAAAAAAAAAACAGGAACTAACTTTGAATGTAAACATAGATTCATTTAGCATTGGTTAGAATGGGAAAATTGTTGTTTACTCCAGGAAAATTCATTTTTTGGCCAAAACAAAGTTATTATCCCTTTAATAGTATGCTATCGGAACAGATAACTTATATATATATATTTTTTGTGATACTTCAGGCATCCAACCAGAGGACAGTGTTCCAAGGACATCAATTAAAACACCATTGGAAATGACAGAAAGAGAGCAGTTATACGAAGAAATAAGCTCTTTGAGACATGAAAGAGACGAAGCACTGTCACGAATTGCAAGTTTGGAAAAGCTACTTACATTAACAGCACTGAGTACATCTTCCGTAGAAGGCAATGATGAGGCCTGTAAAATGATGACTGGTCTCTCATGGAGTGTTTTTATGTGCTTAACTACTGCAATGAGTGCCCTTTTCCCTCCAGTTAAAAAAGGTAGTTTACCCTTGAAAGAGCAACTATTCGTGACACTGTTAAAATTGAGACACAATCTCACCTTTGAATTTTTAGCTCATATTAAGGGAATTCCAAAGACAACAATGATTGACATTTTTTGGAAGTGGATTGATATGCTCTATTCGAAACTAAGCTTCACAATTGCTCCAACAGACAGAGAACATATATTTCGTATATTGCCTGAAGTATTCAAAGAGAAATTTCCCCGGTTGACGTCAATTGTGGACTGTTGCGAAATATTTATAGAGACACCACAGAACCTCTTAGCGCGTGCACAAACTTATAGCAGCTACAAAAAACACACAACGATGAAATTTTTTATTTCCTGTAACCCGCATGGCCACATCAACTTTTTATCTAAAATGTGGGGTGGCAGAGCATCTGATGTGATGATAGTGAGAGAGTCTGGTTTCATGGAAAGTACACAACACATGCCCCATGACCAGATTCTCGCAGACAGGGGATTCCTCCTTCATGACGAGTTAGCAACACGATGCAGTGCTCAGCTCCTCACACCAGCTTTCACAAAAGGCCATAGCCAAATGCCAGGCATTGAACTTGAGGGATCAAGTAAGGTGTCCTCAGTAAGGATCCATATTGAAAGAATAATAGGTCTCCTTAAAAATAGATACACTATCTTGAAAGGCACTTTACCCCTGAGATGTGTCAAAAGTATTAAAGATGAAAGTATGGAAGCTGCAATAGCAAGTGGTGATAAAATAGTCAGAGTGTGTGCAGCTTTGGTAAACCTAGGTCCATCCATAGTGTTTAAGTAGTCATGTAACTGTAGTAAAGTATTATATGTGTTTTGATGCTTTGCATGTGACCATTAATAATGCAGCTGCTTAGTATGCTCATGTTACAAGAATCCTCAGACGGAATGCTAGACAAAATTTTGATACAACTTGATTGCTTATCTTATTGTAGCTTGTTGATAGATTATGAAATAAAATGTGTTCAGAGTTTACAATTTTTATTGTATCTTATCTATTATTTCCATTTTGTAGAGAAAGTACATAGAAATGATTTATGATATTAAATCAAATATTAAATTCTGTTGTGATGGGATAGTATTTTAGCATTTGGTTGGTTTGTTTCTTTTGTGTGGGGGGGGGGGGAGAGGGGGGGCTACTCTTCAGGAATCATCATTGAACTGCCCCTTGACTGTTTTTGTTCGTTGATAACTTAATGATTAAATCCTATTCAACTGACTAATCATTTGTTTTCAATAACAAACAGAATTTCTTGATTATTGATAAGATGCATTTAATTAAATTGTTTCAATTATATAGAAATATAATATTGAGAATGAACAACTTGGTAAAACTGATAATAATGAAAATCTGTTTACTCAAAATGCAGCTACGGGTGGTGGAATTAACTGATAGTCTCACTTGGGTACTGTTACTTTTGTTTCTCCCCATTATCAAGTTTTCTGATCTAGTTACGCCTCTAGGTAGAGGTGGGGTAAACAAATAATGTCAATCTTCTAGGTATTTCTTTGAGGCAGTGTCACTCTTAATTGTTTCACCAATCCCCACTTGAGCTTCCTGTCATTATCAAGATGCACCTACTGGTAAAGGTGAGGTAAACAAATAATATCTCTTGTCCACGTGTCCCTTTAGTCCATGGGGGGAATTCTCACAAAAAAAAAAAAAAAAAAAAAAAAAAAAAATGAAAATCCAGAATAATTTCATGTATTTCATGAGGTAAGCATGCATGTTAATGTCATGTTCACCTTTGATGGTGTCAAGAGTAAGTAACCCAAGATACCGTGTAACTCTTGATTGCAATCAAATTGTACCTATTTAAGTTAACTTTTCCCAAAGACAACTGCATAGTTACTTTAGAAGTGGAACCTGGAGGTATTAGGTAATCCAGTTAGTAAAAAGTAACATTTGAGTTTCTTCATAGGGAAGTGGAGGCAAATTCCATGGAGGCATCTCCAAGAAATAATAATAATAATTTATTTACTAAAATCGCAACCTAAAGGGTGAAGTTTTACAATGTGTCTTAAATAATAAAATCATAAGGTATTTTAAAATTAACTAAAAATTATAAACTAAAGGACCAAAGCTTAAAAACAAGACATATAAGACAGTTTGAAGCAGTAATTTACATAAAATTATAAAAGATGATTTAAAACGCTCCGTATTTTATTGTTATCTCATAATCAACGCAAACAACTACTGTCCACGTTTATCAGTTTGAAGGCACTTATTTTGTATGTTTATTCCTCTATATGTAAGTTATATTTAGGCAAAAAATTAGGTTAAAAAATTATAGTTACGAAAAAATTATAATAAATAATTAGCATCTCGGAAGGACGTGAAACGGACATGGAATTTTAACTTTCAACTTTAACACCAAAATTCTGCTGTCTGTGGAGATATTTAATTTTAAAGTCAAATCAAAATATGAATATTTGATTATTTCACTTTCTCAATATATAATTTATTCTTTTGGAAAAAAAATTAATAAAAAAAATTTGCATATAAAAAAATCAAGTAGGCATCTCAGAAGGACGTTTTGTCCACTGCTAAATAACATGTAAAACAAAGCTTAATAATTATATTTAATGATATATTTTCTAAGATAAGTTTGATGAATTATATCAATGGTAAGCATGTCTTTCCATGATAATATATTTCATCTTCAAACATGTTACTATTTTTGACTATGATACGAGTTCTCATCTGCTCTGATCATCTTTAAATAGTATTGGGACATATAAGAGAAAATCTTACCAAATTCATTAATTATAAATATAATAAATTGTCTAAATTATAATAACTTCAAAATTATTCATTCAAATGAAATGTTTCTCAGTTTAAAAAATTCTTCTATAGATAATAATTGTGCACTTAAGTTCAAGATTTTCTTGAAAGGCATATAGCCTACAAGGGTTTTGGGCTCATTGGTCACATGACCTCTTATTGTCCAATCAAAATGCTTCACATGTCTTTCCACAGTGCTAGGTGCCATGTTTAATGCTTATATATTTCAATTTAATTTCTCATTGAAGTGGTTCTAAGCAAGTGTTTTCAAATCTTGGCCCATACCATGTTTGAGAAAAATATGAAGTTTTTCGCTTATGTAGTTACTGAGAAAACTTAAAAAATAGGTACCAAAATCATCTTGGAAGGACAAATTGATATGAATTAATCCATTATTTTATAATCAAATATTTCTGAATCTGATGCGCTTGACTAAATGTAAGAAATAAGTTATATATTTAATGTGTTTAGCCTTTATTGTTTAAAATTATCACTATTACGAAAATATATCAAAAATAAAAATGTCCTTCCATAACACTATTTTATAAATTTTCCAGATAGAAGTGTCAATAAAATCATAATTAATCATTAAAACCTAAAATTTCTTTTGGATTCTGGTGTCTTATGGTGTCTGGTTTCAGAAATTATAAGTTTTGTTAGTAGGAGTCTTTTTTTTTTTTTTATTTTAAGGTCTGCGGACCAAATACCATAGAATGGCCTGGCCTGGTCTAGATTTTGTAAGATTTCTGACCTCGGCATTTGCTCTTTCATAAAATTTAATTTTATTTATTTATTTTTTTGTTTCAATTTCTTCAGGTGTCTGGACAGGTTTTGTGGTGCCTTGCAGTTTTCTCCCGAAGCTGCCTGCAATACACCGGCATGGTTTCGGTTGCACAACCTGTGTATGCGTAGACACCCAAATTATTGAAACTGTCTACAAAGAATAATATCTGAAAATGTAAACAAGTTTGTTGGGCTTATATTCGAGTGTGCATGTAATAAAATCTTGGGTTTGGTACATCTTCTGCTCAATCTCCTTACAAATACATCTAAAATATATGTCTACAAGGAGAGAATCCAATCATTTATTTCACAATTTTTCTTTTGTACTTTCCTTTTAGATATTTAAGCAGTTTCTCTTANTTAGCAACGAATGCACTTGTCGAGCGGAAAAAAGGGATCGAAAGCCATATTGACAAGCACAGATTTTAGTTTTCCTACAATAACGGCCGTTTTAGTGGTAAAATACAATAGAATATATTTCCATGCGTTGTTTACAATGTATTTCATGCGGATTTTTGAATCTCAAAGGAAGAGTTATTATTGCTTTAACTCCAGCTCTGCCAAACTCTTTTTATTGGAAGCTTGCAAATTAAGTATTCATCATAATTGCCAAGTAATCTCCAATGTGGCTCTCATCATATCCAGCCAATAATCTGGTATCCCAGGTTTATAGGAGTAGCGAGTATTAGCCTTACAAACACAAACCATTTATTTCTCTTTAACATAGACATCTCTCATTCAATAATTAGAAGTGTTTGTTTTGTCAGTGTTATTTTGACATGAAACCATCATACATGTGTATTCCACTTTCACATATGTCCTTGTTTTGATCTTATTCTGGCAGTGTCCAAACATTTTGTTTTTATCCAGTTTGGGTACAAAAAGAATGTATATGATATTTACAAGATCAAAGTTCATATCTGATATCATTCAAATGCAGAATTGTGGACATACATTGTGGTTCAGTAAGTCACTTTAGAGGATGAAAGTCATACATGCTAGTCTGGCAACATGTGTAGGTTGATAAGATGGCGAATGGTTGGTCGACCATGTGGGCAGTTCTGGAAATGATAAAAAAAAAAGACTGATACTTTTGTTCTATGTACTGCAACTGATATAGTGTGATATGCCAACAAGTGAGAAATGCTATTAAAATAATGTATTATTAATATAATTATATAGGTATGGTATAAAGTTAAAAGATATAGTTTTTTCAATGAAACTATATTAAACTAATAGTTACCTGACTGCTATTACTCAGTTCTGTGACTGATTCACCAGTAAGTTATATTTAAGACAAATTCCCAGCATGTGTTACTTAACTAAATGTTTTTATGGTTTTCATTGCATGAAATCGATATGAAAATGAGCACTTCATCTTAGTGTTAAAGCATTTTTTGTGTAAATTTGAAGCAACCTACCCATGGCTGATCCAGTTCCCCCATGTGACAGAGAAGCTGAAATGCAAAATTAGTCCTTAAAACATTAGCAAGTTATGCCACAGAAATTCACAATATTTTCATAATATCTTCAACAAGTCCTAATTAAAGGAACAACAACTTTTCATGTGAGATTCAAAATTCCATAATAAATACAATGTAAACAATACAAAGAAATATAATAAATTCCATTTTAATGGTTATCACAATTATTCTGAAAACTGTGCTTGCCATTGGACAAGATGGACCTTCATAGATGGTTACCTGCTGTAGTAAACTCTTAAGAGATGATCCTCAACTAACAGATTCATTGAAAAGTATGGGATAATTTGCCGTTTACCCTGGAAAAGTCCATTGTATGGTACTTTTCCCACCAAAATGAAGTCGTTATTCCTTTAAGTCTACTAATAGCTTTCTGAAAATAAGTTCTAAATTTTCCATTTTAACATTTTTGTACGTAAGCAGGATAACAACAAAATAACTAGCAAGTGAAAATGACAAATATACAGACAGTTTATATAAAAAGGAGTGGTGACAACAATGAAGCATTTCCACCAATGTACACAGGTGCAGCTGAGGCAATGTTTTCCTGCCAAAATCAATGTACTAGATACAAGTGGTCTTTTAGAAACAACACAATTTCTTTAATCACATAGCTGTTTTAATGGCTGCAGATGCCAACTGCAGCTGATAAACTAAACTAGCACAATATAATGAATGTAAAAGATATTCAAAAAATATACTCAAATACATATGCTGAAGCTGATTTGCAGAATGGATCTGTATTATATAGACTAAAGAATTTATGCAAGTATAAAGAATGCTAACTTGGAATCCCAATCCCCATGTTTTCAAGGAAAAACTGCAATCAATAATTTTTCCAATTTGCCAGCAGCAGTGATTCCCTGGACTGACACAGTGATCAGATTATATACAGACTCTGTCTGAATATAGAAATTCAAAACGAATAAAATTTTTAACTTTTTGCAAATCTGGAACAAACAAGAACAGAACTTGCGTTTTAAAACATTTCATACCTTTTTCATTTCTGCTTTATCAAGAGCTGTTCCTACCATTATGGAACTTCTACATGCTCTTGAGGCAAACATCTGGCGCACTCTGGTGGGACGGCACATGACACCCTGTAAATAGAACACTGTATCAGTACTAGTACTTCACCCGTTGACATGGAATACTTGACACAATGCAATTAATTTAGTCAAAACTAAGTAATAATAATAATTCATTAAAATATTCTTGAATGTTATCTTCATTCACACTTGGTCCTCTGGAACTGGTTTATAGATAAGGCATTTATTGGTAATAAAAGTTGACAACACTGATATTTTGCTGTTATGTACTTGACTATTACCCTTGAAAACTGACGACCTCACCTGATGCATTTATTCAATATACAATAGTGGATCAGAAAGGCAATACCGCAAGTGCAAGTGCATTCGTGGGAAAAAAGAAAAAAACACCACCTCCATTGTGGTACTTGACAAGGTGTACAAAATGCAGCTAACAAGAGTTCTCCATTTTTTTTTTGTTGAAAACTACAATTTATAACAAAATCATGGGGAAAAGCAAAAGGTCAAATCCAAATTTGTGAAGTGCAGTTAGGTTAAGGGTCAATTTCAAGGTCACAGAAAGACTGTCAATATACGAGTTCCTATTCAAGTTCAGTAGTATCAATGGGCATATCTGTGCCAGTTTTGGAGATATAAGGGGTGGAAAATTTGCAAAGATCAGTTCAAAGGTCAATTTTAAGATCACATTTAGATTGCCAGTATATAACTTCCTATTCAAGTTCAATGGTAGGTATGGGTATATCTCTGCAAGTTTTGGGGATATAATGGAGGAAAACCTTGCAAAGTTTAGTTTATAGTGAAAAATAGGCCAAAAGTCAATATCAAGGTCACAGTTAGATTGTCAGTATAAATATCTTCCTATTCAAGTTCAATAGTAACTATGGCCGTATTTCTGCCAGTTTTGGAGATATAAGGGACAGAAACCTTGCAAAAGTCATTTTGCGAACGAGAAGGGTTGGGACTCAAACCAAATAATTTAGTTTAATACTTTTAGTAATTTTACAGTCACAGCACTTTTTTTCCAATGGTCAACAGCACTTTAAAGCTATTAAAAGCCAACTTCAATTACTTCACTTACTGGTGAATCTGTCAGCATGAATATCAGTTCTTCTATATCTATAAAAATATTGTTTATGGAATATGAAAAACATTCAAAGTTGGCACTATACATTTTCATAAAGGTTACAAACATATATTGTGAACCAACAATAAAACAGAAAATTACAATAATGAGACACTGTTATATGTATAATTCTATGAAACAAAGCTTTTCCTCAATCATCATGCAAGAAATACCCTATCCAAAATGTTGAATAAATTACCAACTACAAACTTTATTTTGAGTTAAAATATATAGTATTTAAAGTTTTTCTGAAGCCAAGTCAGAATTTGCGAGGTATTGGGCTAAAATTTACTATGCCGAGGCAATAAATTTACACCATGGATTAACAAATTATGTAAAACATTTTTTGTTGAAAGCTTTCACTTGTTTACTCACCTTCCTTGCCAAAAGTCCAGTTCCTGCTTACAGGCATGGAGACCAACTTGACACGCTGAGTTGGTACAGCTGAAAATAACAGCAGATTTCATCTATAGTGTATAGATACAGAGGTGCAGCACCACCTTCAAGGATAACAATATGGAGCAATAAAATATCTGGCAAACAATGGCTGTTACCCCTCAGAGTAAAGTATGTCATTTTAAAAAAAATTCTAAAACTGTAAAATCTAGAGAAGCACTAAGAGCTCAGACCTCCGCCAAGAGAGGTCAGGTCACGGATAGCAAATTATTTCTGTGACGTGTACCATTAAAATAGGTTAAGAAGTAATTACTACTGCATGTGTAACTTCAAAGCAGAGTGTGTCTCAATGGTAATCCCTATCACACCCAAAATATAATATTTTTTTTTCTTGGCCCAATTGTGGCCAATCCTATAAATTTCATCAAAATCTGCCTTTGACGTTTTGCATAATACTGCAAACAGACTAACTAATTAAATAACAGAACGGATTGGTAAATTTCAAGTAAAACAAAAATATAGTTTTGCACTTATGGGGTTAATATCTAAAAATTTACCAGATGGTGCTTATTTTTTAACCCAACTTATTTGCCAAATAAAGTTTCATAGCTAATATGAAGTAAAACATAAAATACAATTTGGCAGTAAAGGGGGCAAAGATTAAAAATCAGTTTGTGCCTTCCTTTTTTAAGCTCCCTACTAAACTCAGTACATATATATATATATATATATATATATATATATATATATATATATATATATATATATATATAACCCTTCATTTTACAATGAGACTTCACACGGGGAGTCTCACTAAATTGTTAACTGCTATCTGCTATCGGCGAGGCCCAGTTAATTACCCCCCTAGCTGATTCGGTAGACAGACATTTAAGCTGATAGCAATTTAGCTCCCCCAGGGAGTTAGGATCGATCTAGGCATGGGAACCCAGTCTTATAATTGCCCTCACCATCTTCATTTATTTGAAAGTCAAATCCGTTCTTCCGGAAGACTTCTAGATTGTCCACTAGTATAGTTTCATTGGCTGCAGTCAATTCCAGTGTTTGTGGACTGAAACAAATGTTGCTTATAAATTTTTGTGCATCAATTAAAGTAAAATGCCTTCTCTTTTCAATCTGAATTGGTTAACAAGATACACATTTCTAGATAAGATCTGATAAGGCTGTATACAAAACAAAACAGTCAACATACACAATACACATGCACTGGTCAAACAGTGCAATAATAAGGTCTGTAACGTCAAGCAGCAAGATATGAACTAAAGTAACAAATATTTGTTGGATGACCAATTTCTTTCATCAATTTAAAATGCCCACAAGTGCTGTAACCAAAACATGGGTTTGTATGAGTTCTTTTAGCTGCACTGTAAGGGAAATCAGTGTGATAGGAAAATAAAAACTGTGCAATGCTGACATAATGCCGGGTATACCTAACGCATGTGTCACACCCACAGTACTTACTGTATCAATTTCTGGCTCTGTATCACTGTATGCTTTTGCAGGTTTTCAAAATTATACTTCTCATCAGTTGCATGTTGATCAATGATAAAAAGATCAGGCCCTAGTTTACCTATGATAAATCCTAGGTTAAACTGCCCTAACACTTCCATTTCAGGAAACATATCCATTCTGGAAAAATGCCCATTGTACAAAATGCTGATCATGCAATTCCTACAAATTTTATGAGGAAACCAAGACGCTTAAAAGTTTAACAAGGCANGCCCTTACCGTCTAGGAGGAGAAGCGGTAATGGTAGCCGTCCGGCGGAGCCAACGGAGCCGGTGGAACGATCCGGACGTGACCGAAACCATGTGTACCGCCAGCGCTAACGCTGGTGGTACAATAATAATTCATTAAAATATTCTTGAATGTTATCTTCATTCACACTTGGTCCTCTGGAACTGATTTATAGATGAGGCATTTATTGGTCATACAAGTTGACAACACTGATATTTTGCTGTTATGTACTTGACTATTACCCTTGAAAACTGACGACCTCACCTGATGCCTTTATTCAATATACAATAGAGGATCAGAAAGGCAATACCGCAAATGCAAGTGCATTTGTGGGTGAAAAAAAAAAACACCACCTCCAGTGTTGTACTTGACAAGGTGTACAAAATGCAGCTAACAAGAGTTCTCAATTTTTTTTTGTTGAAAACTACAATTTATAACAAAATCATGGGAAAAAGCAAAAGGTCAAATCCAAATTTGTGAAGTGCAGTTAGGTTAAGGGTCAAATTCAAGGTCACAGAAAGACTGTCAATATACGAGTTCCTATTCAGGTTCAGTAGTATCAATGGGCATATCTGTGCCAATTTTGGAGATATAAGGGGCAGAAAATTTGCAAAGATCAGTTCAAAGGTCAATTTTAAGATCACATTTAGATTGCCAGTATATAACTTCCTATTCAAGTCCAATGGTAGGTATGGGTATATCTCTGCCAGTTTTGGGGATATAATGGAGGAAAACCTTGCAGAGTTTAGTTTATAGTGAAAAATAGGCCAAAAGTCAATATCAAGGTCACAGTTAGATTGTCAGTATATATATCTTCCTATTCAAGTTCATTAGTAACAATGGGCATATCTCTGCCAGTTTTGGAGATAGTTTTGGACTTAAATTTTGCAAAGTTTACTTAACAGTGAAAAGTAGGCCAAAGGTCAATTTCAAGGTCACATTTAGATTGCCAGTATATGACTTCCTATTCAAGTTCAATAGTAACTATGGCCATATCTCTGCCAGTTTTGGAGATATAAGGGACAGAAATCTTGCAAAAGTCATTTTGCGAACGAGAAGGGTCGGGACTAAAACCAAATAATTTAGTTTAATACTTTTAGTAATTTTACAGTCACAGCACTTTTTTTCCAATGGTCAACAGCACTTTAAAGCTATTAAAAGCCAACTTCAATTACTTCACTTACTGGTGAATCTGTCAGCATGAATATCAGTTCTTCTATATCTATAAAAATATTGTTTATGGAATATGAAAAACATTCAAAGTTGGCACTATACATTTTCATAAAGGTTACAAACATATATTGTGAACCAACAATTAAACAGAAAATTACAATAATGAGACATTGTTATATGTATAATTCTGTGAAACAAAGCTTTTCCTCAATCACCAAGGAATACCCTATCCAAAATGTTGAATAAATTACCAACTACAAACTTTTTTTTTGAGTTAAAATATATAGTATTTAAAGTTTTTCTGAAGCCAAGTCAGAATTTGTGAGGTATTGGGCTAAAATTTACTATGCCGAGGCAATAAATTTACACCATGGATTAACAAATTATGTAAAACATTTTTTGTTGAAAGCTTTCACTTGTTTACTCACCTTCCTTGCCAAATGTCCAGTTCCTGCTTACAGGCATGGAGACCAACTTGACACGCTGAGTTGGTACAGCTGAAAATGAGAGCAGATTTAATCTATAGTGTAGATACAAAGGTGCAGCACCACCTTCAAGCATAACAATATGGAGGAATAAAAAATCTGGCAAACAATGGCTGTTACAGCTCAGAGTAAAGTGTGTCATTAAAAAAATCTTAAACTGTAAAATCTAGAGAAGAACTCAGAGAGCTCAGACCTCTGCCAAGGGAGGTCAGGTCAGGGCTAGCAAATAATGTCTGTGACGTGTACTATTAAAATAGGTCAAGAAGTAATTACTACTGCATGTGTAGCTTCAAAGCAGAGTGTGTCTCATAGGTAATCCCTATCACACCCAAAATATAATAATTTTTTTTCTTGGCCCAATTGTGGCCAATCCTGTAAATTTTATCAAAATCTGCCTTTGACGTTTTGCATAATACTGCAAACAGACTAACTAATTAAATAACAGAACAGATTGGTAAATTTCAAGTAAAACAAAAATATAGTTTTGCATTTATGGGGTAAATATCTAAAAATTTACCAGATGGTGCTTATTTTTTAACCCAACTTATTTGCCAAATAAAGTTTCATAGCTAATAAAATAAAACAAAAAATACAATTTGGCAGTAAAGGGGGCAAAGATTAAAAATCAGTTTGTGCCTTCTTTTTTAAAGCTCCCTAGTAAGTTCAGTACATATATATATATATATATAGAGAGAGAGAGAGAGAGAGAGAGAGAGTGAGAGAGAGAGAGAGAGAGAAAGAGAGAGATAACCCTTCATTTTACAGAGACTTCACATCATGATTAGGGACCATTCCCACAGATATTTGGATCGATCTATCTCCACGGGGAGTCTCACTAAATTGTTAACTGCTATCTGCTATTGGCAAGGCCCAGTTAATTACCCCCCCTAGCTGATTTGGTAGACAGACATTTAAGCTGATAGCAATTTAGCTCCCCCAGGGAGTTAGGTCAATCCAGATGGATCGATCTAGGCATGGGAACCCAGTCTTACAATTGCCCTCACCATCTTCATTTATTAGAAAGTCAAATCCGTTCTTCTGGAAGACTTCTAGATTGTCCACTAGTATAGTTTCATTGGCTGCAGTCAATTCCAGTGCTTGTGGACTGAAACAAATGTTGCTTAATAAACACCTTTTAATCTGAATTGGTTAACAAGATACATTTCTAGATAAGATGTGATAAGGCTGCATACAAAACAACACAGTCAACATACACAATACATATACACTGGTCAAACAGTGCAATAATAAGGTCTGTAACGTCAAGCAGCAAGATATAAACTAAAGTAACAAATATTTGTTGGATGACCAATTTCTCTCATAAATTTAAAATGCCCACAAGTGCTGTAACCAAAACATGGGTTTGTATGAGTTCTTTCAGCTGCACTGTAAGGGAAATCAATGTGATAGGAAAATAAAAACTGTGCAATGCTGACATAATGCTGGGTATACCTAACGCGTGTGTCACACCCACAGTACTTACTGTATCAATTTCTGGCTCTGTATCACTGTATGCTTTTGCAGGTTTTCAAAATTATACTTCTCATCAGTTGCATGTTGATCAATGATGAAAAGATCAGGCCCTAGTTTACCTATGATAAATCCTAGGTTAAACTGCCCTAACACTTCCATTTCAGGAAACATATCCATTCTGGAAAAATGCCCATTGTACAAAATGAATAAAGTTCACAATGATGCTGATCATGCAATTCCTACATTTTTAAGAGGAAACCAAGTGGCTTAAAAGTTTAACAAGGCAGCAAAGCTGTCAAATGTACAGACAAAAAACAGGAAATAACTATGCACAAAATAGGCTACTGTCAATTCTGATGCAAAAGTACATTATGTTAAACTGCAAATTCAACATCAAATTTTAAT